CCTCCTCCTTCCCCCCTCTGGTGAAAAAGCGAAGGCCTTGAGTTATCATCATCCAATTGACGGGCGCCAGGTAATTCAAATTCAGAGTTATGTTATTCATCTAAGTTCATCAGGATTCGAACTCGGGGTCTGTTTATGGAAAGTTCATGAATGTACCCCTCTTCGGCCACATGCATGATTCGAGTCCCTGTCTACAAGAATCCTCCTTTCTAAAAACTTGTTTTTTTAACTTTTTTATTTTGTCTTGAGAATGAGAGAAAGACCACCCTTTACAACACTGCCATCTTGACCCCCATCTTGCCTTTCTTAAACCCTCCGTCTTTTTTTCCTGGGCTGTTTCTCCGTGCACCCAGACACGAATTTTGTTGCCCGGACACACGCCCGGCCACCCGGTTAAGAACAGATACTACATTTGATCTGACATTTTGCAAAAAAAAAAAGAAAGACAGTCCCATTTAGTTAAAAAAAAAAAAAAAAGAAGGCCGAGAAACGTATACTGCAGACAACTTATGGCTGAGGGTCACCTAAGAATTCCTAACAGAATCGGGGGAAAAAGAAAGTTCTTTTTTTCAAATCAAAATAATGCAACCCCTTTAAAACCACTTTAAGCCCCTTTAAACCCCATTTATACACCCTTCCTTCCTCCCCCCCCTCTACCGACAACACTGAAAAACGAAAAAGAGCACGGATTTGGGCTGATTTCGGTGTTGGGCGCTGGAAAATAAAAATAAAAATCCCAGAGTTTCTACATGCCCGGGGTACGCTGGGCAGGCAGATAGGTTGTCCGGGTGCCCAGGCGGGCATGCACGGGCAGACGCCCCCCTGGAAGCCTAGCCAATTTCCTTTTTCTCTCTTTTTTCTGAAGATTTTCCATTTTTTTCCCCTTTATTTCTCGTTTTTCCTTTTTTTTTTTTTTTCTCTTTTCTCTTTTTTCCCCTTCCTTCCCTCAAATATTACAGGGCAACTTACAAAATAATAAAACATTATTTGACGGCATTTATTCCACGTTCTAAAACAGACTAATTAGTGATTATTGAATTTAATTGATAAACATTAAATTTCAAAAAACTGCGTATTGAATATTTGATATAAACATCAAATTTTTTATTTTTTTTTTCGGAGTCTGATCACACCAAATATACTCCCGCCGTCGTTGCTTCTTCCCTTCCCTTTCTTTGCCTTCCATCCTGCCTTGCTTTCTCCTTAAACTAAACAAATAAAAATAGTTAAAATAATAAAAAATATTTAAACAAGGAAAAAATACACGTTCTTCCTCGTCATTCTTCCCCTGATATGTGCGGCTCATCTGATCATATCAAAATATATTTCCGTCGTTCTTACCTTCCTTCCTCCCTTCCTTCCTTCAATTTCCTAATAATATCCTAATGTAATTTAAAATAAACAAGCAAACAAGTTAAAAATAAAAAAAATAAAAAAGTTACACAAGGTCCTCCTTACTTTTCACTCTTTCCGTTGCTACATGTGGCTCCTGCACTCTAATCATACCCAAATATACTTCCCTCCCTCCCCCCTCCCTCCTTCCTCCATCCCTCCCTTCCATTATCTGCGAAAGCGCGCACACGTACACACACACACACACGTGCTCTTTCTTGTCTTTTCTTGTTCTTTCTCGTCTTTTCTTGTTTTTTCTTGTCTTCTTTTGTTTTTTTGTCTTTTCCTTCTTTTGTTTTTTTTTTCCTTGTCTTTTTCGTCCTTTCTGCCGGTATGTCAAACTATGTCTGCGTGGCGGCTGGTCAACGACCCCTATCCGTTTAACCTTTCTTCACGGATCTACAATTCCAACGGGTCTCAATGAAATCAAACATTCAACCTTTTTTTTTTTTTTTTTTTTTTTTTTTTGCAAAAGACACCCCCTCCAGTGGTGGTGGTGATGGTGAAAACAGACTCCGCTAGCACCGGGGGAGAAGCCAGCCACCAACCATATGGGATTCCGCACGATGGTAAGGGATGGGACTACCGGTAGTCCAACAGAGAAAGCTGTCCGGCAACAGCTCCCTCTTTTAAATTTTCAATCAGCAGAAAGAAAAGACGTAAGAACTCGCAAAAAAAAATAATACGTAAAAGGAGCTGCTGCGGGATTGGAAACAATGATAAGTATGATATACATCACTGTAATCTTTTCTTCTTTTTTTTTTTTTAATGTGCGTGTCATCCTTCCTCAGGGGCCATGATAATCTACTCTGTATCGTTCCAATTTTTTGACGGATGCCCCGACGGACCTGATATCTCTTTCAACCATAATAATCATCACAAAATAATAATAATAATAATAATAATAATAATAATAAGAAGAAGAAGATGGCAAGTATCAGAGAGAGACGGCATGAGGGGTGAGCAGAGCAAGAGGTTGTAAAGGAAGACTCCGAAATTTAAGGAATAAAGAGAGAGAGAGACAGAGAG